GGTCAGAGCTCAGAGGTCAGAGCTCAGGGGTCAGAGCTCAGAGGTCAGAGCTCAGGGGTCAGAGCTCAGTTTCAGAGCTCAGAGGTCAGAGCTCAGAGGTCAGAGCTCAGGGGTCAGAGCTCAGAGCTCAGGGGTCAGAGCTCAGAGGTCAGAGCTCAGGGGTCAGAGCTCAGGGGTCAGAGCTCAGAGGTCAGAGCTCAGGGGTCAGAGCTCAGGGGTCAGAGCTCAGGGGTCAGGGGTCAGAGCTCAGGGGTCAGAGCTCAGAGGTCAGAGCTCAGAGGTCAGGGGTCAGAGGTCAGGGGTCAGAGCTCAGAGGTCAGAGTTCAGGGGTCAGAGCTCAGGGGTCAGAGGTCAGAGCTCAGGGGTCAGAGCTCAGAGGTCACACACATCTGAGATGTAATGCAGAACAAAACTGCAGTTAAGAACAGCTGTTCAGGAGAAAGACACACGTGTGGAAATGGATGCACAGGTCATGCAGCAACCAGCAGGGGGTGTGCTACCTTTAGAAGTTTGGAAAAAAAACAAAAGGAGAGATGAGTTAAAAAAGATGCTCTGATCCTATGTTTACTCATAAAAACAGAATCATATGCACAAGTGTGCTGGGGATCAAACACATGGTACGGGGGCGGGATTCAGTGGAGTTTCAGGTTAATACTCTGTGCTGGAACCAATCCAAGATCTGTCAGAGTCCAGAGACCAGATCTTACCCTCCCAAGCTCAGTTCAGTTTCCCCTTCCTCCCTCACCACAGCCTTCAGAGTGGTCCCACATGAATGATACGGGGAGAGGGATTGGGGGACTCAAGGACATCCCCTCCCGGGAAGTTTTGATAACTGCTGACTGACCAAGGTCAGCAGCTGCTGGAATCCAAAAGATAAACATAATTGTTTTGGGACAAGCGGCCTTGAATTTTTTGCCACTTTTGAGTCTTAACTGCATCTCTGAAATGGCGAAAATGCAGAATGTTCTGAATTTCATCACCTCCTCACCTCCTCTTTCTGTCTGAAACTTCACCCAGGTGTAATCCTCCTCCTCATGGGCACGCTGCTGAACTATGATTGTTGTCAGAATCACATCCAGTTTGTGACTGAACTCACCCAGCATCTGAGTCTGTGCGTTACCAGTACAGGAGATTCCATCCATGGTTCCTGACAGCTTCTCACAGGCCCAGACTGCTGTCAGGATCACTTTCATTTTCAAATAAGCCAGGACTCCTCCACAGCCGATCAGCAGGAATCCAGTTATCATAAATCCAAATATGTACAAATCTTCCACGTCTTCAAAGGAAAGTGGTGCCAAACAGATCAGGTTCCAGGCCCAGGAACCACTGACCCGACCAGCAGCAACCATTCCACTGGGACAGCTGCACTCCCCTCGCTCCAATCTCAATGTGGAAAAAATAGTGTTGATTGTGTTCAGAGACCAGTTGACCAAACCCATAGTTCCTTTTGTTTTCAGATGTTAGGTAGAAGAAAGGCTTAAAAAAGCTGTGAAGCAGGAAAGGAGGTTCAGGAGTAAGAAAAAAGCGTCCAACTCCTCTGAAGGCCAAGCAGGAAAAACACGTGGACAATTCTAACAAAAAAAGCAGCCTCGTGGGGACAGAAGTGAGTCGTGTGGACCTGGTCCAAACGCAAATTACAGGTGGGGGTTAGGGTCAGGACCAAGGTTTAGGGTCAGGTAGGATCCTGTGAGGTTAATGTTAGAGTATATGGTCAGGGTTAGGTTATAAAGTCTAAAAAACATGAATGGAAGTCAATGGAAGCCAGGTGTGTGTGTGTGTGTGTGTGTGT